TGCGAAGGGGAGACGCGATGGGGTGGCCAGGGGTTCGGTCCCTGGCGAGTCCATTGACGCGCGTCGCCAAGGATGTCGAAAGGTCTTTTCCCGCCTTGGGGAGGATCGAAATGACACGCCAGGCTGGGCAGGGCGGTCGCACGTGCCACCGTCGACGATGTCGTTTCCCGCCACAGAGAAACGACGTCGGAGGTCCATCTGCGAGAGAGTACTTCAGTCCTGCGCATCCCAACCCGCATGTATGTCGTCCGCACGAAGGTGTCTCCAGTACAGAAGCCCGCCGCGCCTGCTGCACACCGACCAGAACGACGTGGAAGTGGTACAAGCCTGCTCGCCGCAGATAAATGTCGCGCACTCCGCGCGAACATCTTCAGCTCCTTGGACGACCACCGCCGACGCCATTTTAGCCATCTCGTCCCGTGGACGATCTTCAGTGGACTCGTCGTCCTTCTGTCTGGCACGCCGACGTCGCCAGTCAATCATCTCGCCGCGGATCACTGTGAGCGTCACTCTTCTATTCTTCTCGCCACTAGTCTTTTCGTCTCGGAGTACTGTCGCCGGGGTCGTCGTCCTTCTGTCTACCACGTGCTCGTCGTTGTCTTCTTCCCGCGGAGAACAGATCTTCTGCGTCGCGGGGGTATCCGTCGTCGTCACGCCACAGCAGCACGGGAGACATTTCTCGCCAAATCGGCGACACTTCAAACGGCGGTCGGCGAAGCACTTCCCGCTCATCCGATCACACCGCCAAGCTCGCCTGCAGAGGTCGCCACGAAGCATGTCTACGCGAGGGAACACCCGTGGGAAGAAGCGCGACGTAGTCCCTGACGACAGCCAAGGGTAGGGAAGAGGTCGGCGGCATGCCCCGAAAGCGAAGAGGGTGCGTTTGGAAGATGCGTCAGCAAGGGTGCCTCGTCGTGGAGCGCAAGGTTGGGCGACAGCAGCGGAAGGGGACTACGACGAAGAGTTCACGACGGAGGAGGAGCAGGCAGAGGCGACCACGTCTGCAATACGGGAGAGCGGTCGGCAACGCTCTTCTGATCAGAGCGCTTCAAAGAGGATGCTGACCCCTCCACCCGAGGCGCAGCAGCTGCGTGCCCGCGATACGCGGACAGAGAAGGCCGTCGTCGTCGATCTTGGCGGCGAGGATGACGAGCCCTTGGATAGACGTCGCATGCACACTCGTACAACGGCGACCCCACCGCCGGCGGTGACACCACGCGCTGCTGTAAACGAAAGGCCAGTCTCGGGTAGGCTGACCGCCACGCCGTCTCAGCCACGTCAGCGCAACGAGGGTGGTGACGGAGGGTCCGTCCAACGCGGCGGCGGGGGGGGAGTCATGGCAGACACGCGCGCAGTTGGGGCCGAAGCGGCAAGTGCTGTGGGGGCGGGTGGTTCAAGCACTGTGGCCCCCGTTGCGACGGCGAGAGAGGAGGCAGCAGTTGCGGCGGCGACGAGAGTGGAGGTAAGTGGCGAGAAGAAAGGCGATCGGGAGGGCGGCGAGCCAGGTTCAAGCCGGGTACATAGGGGAGTGATAACAAAAGACCTCATCGATCGTACCGTCCTTTGGGTCGATGACAAAGCTTTCTGGACGACGGGGGAGAGGCGAAGACTGTACAACATCGTCCACGATACGAGAGAGTACTTCGTCGCCATCGCCAGCGGACTTCCACCGCCTGTCGTCCCTCGGAGCGTCGTACTGCCCAAATCCAGCACGCGCGAAGGCAAGATCGCCGACCAATCACAATTGCAGCAAGCGATCTCCCGTGCGGCGGCAATGGAGAACGTTGCACTGCGCATCTTGCACAGCTGGGTGTTCAAGTCCGGAAACCGCCCAAGGGGATACCACGTGGCTTTCCAGTACTCGCTAGAATCCTTTGCTACGGACATTGCGCGTGCTATGTGGTACGGCGAGGAGTGGTGCGACGTCGTCAGTCCGACGGTTTGCGCGCACACGATAGATCTGTCCGGACGCCGACGACATGGCGGCGCACCACGAGTCCACCGTCGTCTGCGTCGCGCATGCATTCCGCGCGGCGGTGCAAATGGCGGCGCTCATCGACGGCGAGTTCATCTCGCACGATCGTCTTTGTCGGGTGGCTGACTGCTTCAGGCTGTTGTTGGCGGCCTGCATGTGGATAATGCGCATGGAGGGGGACGACCCGCGCAGCCACTACGAGGCTTTCTACTTTGCGAACCTCGTGGCGAAGCCCACACTCGTGGCGTCCATGCATCGCTTTCCTTCGATCATCGACGATCCGTCGTCCGCGCCGCGAAAGTCGTCACAGAGAGGCTTGGGAAGGCGAACGCTACGTTTGGACAGTACCCCGACTACATCCCTCAATGGGCATTCTGCGGCATTGGTTTCAGGCACGACGCGAGCATAACGGGCCCGGAGGATGCGAAGAAGCTAGATTGGTTGGGTTCGGGCCCCCCCGATGATAAGAACAACAAGGACGGGAAAGATGACGCGTAGGGTGGGGGGGGGGTTGCTGCGTGTGTGGACGCGGGTGCATGTACACGTCGCTGGTCGTGATGGGGTTCACTGTGGTTTCACCGTCGCAAAGTGCGCACCTGTTTACTGTGTCGGTGAGAGGGATTCGGCAGAATCGTCGGCGGTTGCGCACATGTTTAGCGCGTTGGCTGTGCCACGAAGACAGGTTGATTGATTTCAATGGTGTATGTTGCGTTTAGTGCAGGTGTTTAGTGTGTCACTCGTTGGAGTCGACGACGAGATCAATGAATGTCGTCCTGTATTCTGTTTTTATAATTGCAGTTCGCTGCGCAAGAAGCTCATAGCGCTTTTAGCGCACCCTTTTTTTTACGTGATGTGTCCGCTGTTCTCGTCTCTTTTGTGGAATGATGTAAAGATGATCGCAGATGATTGCCTCCTATGCATGCACACAGTCCACGGTCATCTCTCTCTGTTTTTTTGTTTCGTCGTTAACTAACGTTAATCAACTTGCTTCAACAATTTGAACACCCATGTTTGACGTCCCGCCAGAGAACCACAAGAGAATATTCGTGACAAAGGAATTGAAGAGACACACACACACACACAAAATAAAAAAAAAAGGAAATGAAGAGATACACATAAAACAAATAAACTTCCCACCACACCAGACCATTCGAGACACACGATTTGAAGACACACAAAAAAGAAAAAAAGAAAAATTGAGAGAGAGACACAAAAAAAAGGTTCTTCCAATATTAAACCTTCGTACAACTGTACGAACCACGCAACCGTCCACACGATGAAAACAAGAAAGGAAGTCACAGACGACAACCATGCCGCCATACAATCGACCCAGCAACTTCGTGCAAGACGCCAATGGACACGGGCCACGTGTCAATTCCACCCGCCTGCCGATCGCACCAACCCACGCGCCCGCTGCTCTACGCTTCCACAGGACAGCACGCACGGCGGAGGTGAAGATGCGCCTTGCAGGAAGATGCCCCCGCTGGTCACAACTTGCGTGGAGTCGGAAGACAGATATCCACGCCGAACGGTTCGCCAGCGCCGTCGTTTGTACGTCACACGCGTCGCCTGGCCGTCCTCCGCCCCGCCACCCTGCGTCCGCGAGAATTCGAATTTGAATTTTTGAAGCTCGGGTTGACCGCGCTTTTCACCCACCCCTCCTCACCCGCCCAAGGCCTCCGCAGTGTGTAATACGAACACCAGCCAGGACCCGACGGACATCGGCGACGCCGCTGCGTATACGAATATGAAAACAGGCCGCGGAGACCTTTTAGGACGAATCCTAAAAGATGATTTTTAGGACTGCGCGTAACGACGCCGCACGAAATCCTAAAAAACCTTTAGGAGTCGTCCTAAAAATTTTAGGATTCTTTTAGGAGCGTCTAACGAGACCCTAAGTTCTAATCCTCAGATTTATCTTCTCCTCTAACCAACCAACCAACCAACCAACCAACCAACCAACCAAAAAAAAACAAAAAAAAAGTTCATTGTGTCTGGCCAGGAGGGAGACAAGTGACTTGCCAGACCCATTACAATGATTACACACACACACACACACACAACTTTTTTTATTTTTATTTTTTTCAAAAAGCTATGTTCTTCTCTCAATTTCACCTCACACTACCTACCTACCACTACTCTTAATTGTAGGCATAAGGGGAACCCCGTAGCATCCAGAACTGTGTTCACGAGAGAACATGCGGGGGCTGCTCCCGACCTGCAGGTGGGCGATACCGGCTAGGGGAGAGCCAGTAGCATCAGGGACCATGCCAACAGGACCAATCCCTGTGCCTCCCCTCAGGTCCCCTCCCCTACGAACATCAGCAGACTCTGCTCAATGCCGATCGGGGGATCCAGTGGTCTATCTCTAGGTGGTGGGCGCCAAGCACACACACATTAAAAAAAAAAAAAAACAGTGTCACATAGTACACATACACAATATTTCCAATTTTGTGCAAATGTGTGCCCATGTTCTCAAGACCAATAGACTGTATACAGTGTTTAGCCCAGAGACTCAGGTTCGAACCCTGACAGACTCAAGAGGTTTCCACCGTATCCGGGCTGAAAAACAGAAGTAGATGGGAACCTGCGACCATTAGGACAACAATACAACACAAACATACTTTTGACATATTTTGAATTTTTGATAGTTGTGAAGAAGCGAGCAAGCACAAGCACACTACCGGGGGGCCATTCCAACAGTGCTAGAAAACCCTTTTAAAACCACCAGTACTTGCTAAAGTTGTACCCATTAACAAACCAACCACGGCTTTCGAAACGTACGGGCAGGCCCCTACAGGAGTGCCCAGATTCATCCGACTAGTAACATTTCTACTCTATTTTTCTCCATGGCCGATAGTCGGGCCAAGTACTGGTGGTTTAAGTTCCTCTCCCCCCCCACCCCACCCCACCCCACCCCACCAAATTACGACAACTGAATACGTGAAGAAATGCCACACATGAAACGGTGACGACAAAGCCTGACGAGGGAGGCTTAGCAAACACGACACAGCAGACTATATTCACACCAAAAGTAGGACTCGAAAATATTGAAATCAACAGCAGACAGTGAATCGGATGAACTGACTTCCGTCGAGTGGACAGATCAGATCAAGCCCATCTTTTACAATCGGGACTGCATACCCCCTGCCGCAATGATAGTTTCGCCGGTAATGTAGGAAGCGTCATCAGATGCGAGGAACGCAACGACCGAGCCAATATCGGCGGGAGTGCCAAGCCTTCCCAACAATGTCTTGCTCACACTGGCTTCCCTCTGAAAAACAAACACACAGACAATTAACCATTATTAAGCAAGCAGTTAGTGACAAAACCATCCAGGAACCATGGGACCATGGAACACTGCAACCATGGGACCATGGAACACTGCAACCATGGAACCATTGAGCACTGCAACCCTGGCGTGGAACCATGGAACACTGCAACCATGGAAGCATGGAACCATGGAGCACTGCAACCCTGGCGTGGAACCATGGAACACTGCAACCATGGAAGCATGTACCCATGGAAAACTGCAACCATGTCGCCATGGAACCATGGAACCATGGAACTATGGAACCATGGAACCATGTAGCCATGGAAGAGTTCCAACCAGCAGAAACCAGAAACTGAACTGTCAGACAATGCACCACTACTGCAACCATGGGACCATGGACTCATGCAACCCTGCTGTAAACAAGGAGCCATGGATCGGTCTGAAACCCGAACCAGGAACCATGGGACCATGGAACCGTGGAACCATTCAATGCTGCAAGTGCAAAGACATGGAAAAGTTCAGGTTCCTGGTTCCCGCCATGGAGTGATGGAGCCACGGGGCCATGCAATACTGCAAAAACCACGGCCGGGAAACGGATCGAACCAGGGGCCATGGTTCAAACCCTAAAGGGCCTAAACCCGAAATCATGGAAAGGGTAGATGCAGGCAGAGAACCAAAGAAAGGAGGAGACACAGAAGCACGGGACCATGCGGCTAGAGTAGCATGGGACCATGGAAAATCCCCATTGTGGAACCACAGAACCAGAAAACAACACAACTGAAAGTCTTATCAAACCAATAGTGCATGCACGAATCAATCCAAGGACCAAATAGTCACACACTGTCCAAGTACGTTCTTTTTTTTTTTTTTTTCTCACCGTACAAGTACTTTCTGACATCGGCGCAGTCAACACATTGTGTCGTTGCAGAGGGAGCTATGTAGAAAGTCTTTCTACAACGAACAACGACAATCGTCACAAAACCAGACGGTAGAAGTAAGCCACCAGGGAGCGATGCACCAGCAGGGCATCAACAAAAGGGTGGCGCGGCAGATTCTGAACGAAAATAAGAGCTGGCACAATAACAAAAAATATAGAAACAGGGGTGGGGTGGGGTGGGGTGGGCTCTTCAGAGGGGTTTATCTGGACAACCGAGTGGCCGATTACTGTGGGCGATGGTCATCTGTCTAGTGTCCCACCCCTACAACAACCTGGGCTTTCAAAACAACAAAAAAAAAGAAAACAAAAAAGAAACAGGGCCCCAGCCTGGTTCTTGACAGGGGAATGGGCGGGAAGGGCGGGGGG